GCACACCCACACACACACACACACACACACACACACACACACACACACACAGGTGGATGGTGCCTGAGGAAGACACCTCAGGTTAACCTCTGGCCAACACACACATGCATGCATGGATCACACACACACACACACACACGTGTGTATACACTCTGCATACATGTACACACTAAAAATGGTAAGGTTAAAGCATGGAAACAGCCAAGCCTTAATGGAATTGCTCTCTTTTGCACATTGAAACCCGACAACCCATTTTTACAGATGGGAATCTGAAGTCAGAGCTCTCTGAGTTACACAGTGGCTGTGTCCCCTTCCAAGGGGATTGGGGTCGGTGGCCTTGGGCTCTGAGCTTGTGATCTGAATTCATTCTCTCAAATCTGTCACTTCGGGGGGTATTAACCCAGCTGTGGGGCCACTTCTCCTGGTGACCTCTTCCTGACCTCTGTTGGCCAACCTTGACAGGATTCACTCATTGCTTCCTTTCTTCCTTCTTCTGCCTCCTACATTGGGGTCTCCCTGTTCATTTCTGTCCCCATAGGCCATTTGTACCCCAAAAGCAGCCAGAGGGACCCTGTGAACACCAGAGTCCCAGCATGCTCCAAACTGTGCCCGTCCCCAGAGTTTGGGAAGATAGAAAGCCCCTCCCTGGGGGGTGAAGGGGGGAGTGTCTCACCGTCTCATGTTCTCTTTGGCTACTCCTTGGATGTAAATGGACATTCCGACACTGAGGCCACCTGGGATGGGCCTCTTGTAGGGCAGAGTCTGTAGAAGGGGCCAGATGAAGGGCCTCAGAGGCTGCCTGCCTCTCACAGCCCTTCCCCCATGCTCCAAAGACCCCCCAGTCCCTTAAGCAGGGGAGATGAAAGTAGGGGTGAGGGTATGGAGAGATGGCTCAGTAGATGAATACCTGCCCAGCATAACAAAAGGGTGAAAGGGAAAACGGGGTTTGGGGATGCAGGCCCAGCGGGCATCTCACCGGGTTGTAGGTGGGCTGGTAGCCCGGCGCTGGGAGTACTGCCATCTTGAGGGTCTGAGCTGATAGCTTGTGCTGGGAGAAGTAAGTAAGGGAGTGTGGAATGCTGGCAGGTTGCAGGTGGCCTTATACTAGAGGGAGTGGCTGTCAGGGGAGAGTTCAGGAAGTCTCTCAGGTGGGAATCTCTCAAGGGCACACCCTAGCCTCCCATTCTGGCAGGGATGCTGACCCTCCAATGTCCCCCACAAAGAGGAAGTATTCCTGGACTTGGACCTTGCCTGACTTTATCAGAGCCATAAAGCCCTGCCTTGAGAACTGTTAGCAGAGGGAGGGTGAGATCGGGTGGGCAGGGCAGGGGCTGGGCCACAGGAAAATCATGCCAGGTGGCCAGTAGAAGCAAGCCAGAATGAAAGGGAAATGCTATGTACCTCCTGACCCTGCACGCACGCTATAAGGCAGAGGCTTAGAGCTCACCCCGCTGGAGCCCCAGGTTCTGGGTTCCAGCTCTACCCTTGCCCCTTCCCGGCTATCCAGAGCCGGTCCCTCACTCTCAGTCTGCCCATTATAAATTGGGGAAATGACACTATCCACCTATGAGTCCTTGGAATGATTGGGGACCCCAGCATGTGGAAGTTGGAGGCAGGAGAATTCCTGCAAGTTTGAGTTTGGCTTCGTTGGTAGAATGCTTGCTGCGGGAAACCCTGGGGCTCGTATCCAGCACTACATAAACAGAGGGCTGTGAAAGGTGCCAGGATCCAAGCACCCATGACTAGGGTGTTCCAGAGATCAAGGTCATCCTTTTCTACACAGCGAATTCAAGGCAGGGCTGGGCTACATGAGATCCTGTCCCAAACAAAGGAAAACCCATCGACAAAGCCAAGTGTGATGTCTGTGATCCCAGAACTAGGGAAGCAGAGGCAGAATTACTCCAAAACTCGGGGGCAGCCTGGATTACAGAGCAAGACTCTTAAAAAAAAATCTGGCCAGGGTAGCACATGCCTTTAATACCAGTTCAGGAGGCAGAGGTGGTTTTCTATGAGTTGGAGGTCCTGTCTGAATAGTCAGTTCTGGGGCAGACAAGGCTATGTCTCAAAAAGAGACCCTGCCTCAAAAGAGAGAGAGAGAGAGAGAGAGAGAGAGAGAGAGAGAGAGAGAGAGAGAGAATGAATGAATGAGTGAGTGAGTGAGTGAATTCATAGCAGGAGACAGAATGTCATGTCTGTAATCTAAACACTAGGGAGGTTGAGGCAGGAGGATTGCTGTGAGTTCGAGGACATCTGACAGAGGTGGGGTGGGGTGGGGAAACAGCACCTGTCCTGGTTGCACAGGCCTTTAATCAACCCCAGCTGTTCAGGAGACTGAAGCAAACCCAGGTCCTCTGTAAGAACACGGCTCTTATCTGACGAGCTATCTCCAGCGCCTCTACCTAGCCTCCAATTACGCTAGGCTGGCTAGGCAGCAAACCCCAGGGATCTAGGGCCTGTTCCTGCCTTTTCCAGTGCTGGGAGTCCATGTGTGCACTGTCGTCTGGGCTGAAAGACTTCACTGACTAAGCAATCTCCTCAGTGTTGTCCCCCCCTCCTGCCCCCACTTCTTTCTTTTTTATTTGAAGACAGGATCTCATGGATCCCAAGCTGGCCTCGAACTCATGATCCTTCTGCCTTCACTTCTCAGGCACATTAAGGTGTGTGCCACCATGCCTAACAATTATTATTAATTGTTTGGCAGGGTTTGAATTTTTGTCCCAGCACCCACATCGGTGGCTCACAACCAGCTGTCACTTCAGTTCTAGGAATCATATGCCCTCTACTGACCTCTGATGGTGCCAGTGATCTACATATGGTGTCCTGGATAATTTTACGTCAACTTGACACAAGCCAGTGTCATCTGAGAGAAGGGAAACTCGAATGGGAAAATGCCTTGGTAAGGGTTGCAGGCAGACAAGCGCGTAGGGCATTCTCTCAATTAGTGATTGACGGGGAGGGCCAGCCCGTTGTGGGTAGTGCCATCCCTGGACTGGTGGTCCTGGGTTGTGGGGGACACCGTAATGCCTGCTACAGGTATGCCTGACCTCACCTGGTCAGGGTGACATAGGGAAGGTTTAAGAGTGAGGGGCACAAACATGGGCTTCCCTTCTTCCGTTTCATCTTCCACTTGGGTCACTCTGTAAGTAAGGCTTCTTTCTCCCTAATAAATACTGTTATATTTATACCTGACTCTGTATTGGTAATTCCCACATTACCTGGGTTCTATAAGAAAGCAGGTTGAGCCAGCCATGGGGGATAAGTCAGTAAGCAGCTCCCCTCCACAGACTCTGCATCAGCTCCTGTCTCCGGGTCCCTGCCCTGCTTGAGTTCCCGTGCTGACTTCCTTTGATGATGAACAGTGACATGGAAGTTTAAGTGAAATAAACCCTGCCCTCCCTGATTTACTTTTGGGCATGGTGTTTTGTTGCAGCAGTAAAAACCCTAAGACAGACATCCATGCAGAGGAAACACTTATACACAAAATAAATACATTAAAAAGAATTTTCAAGCTGGGCTTTGGTGGCACACACCTTTAATCCCAGCATTCTGGAGGCAGGCAGAGAACTCTGTGAGTTCAAGGCCAGCCTGGTCTACAGAGTGAGTTCCAGGACAGCCTCCAAAGCTGCAGAGGAACCCTATCTCGGGGGGGGGGGGGGGGAAAGAACTTGCCAGGTGGCTCAGCAGGTGGGCACTTGCCACCATGTTCGATTCCTGTACCCACATGGTAGAAACAGAGAACTTCCTTACAAACACACACACAACAACACAACAAAATCAACATTTTCGAAAGACTTATGTATTCATGTGTATGGGTGCTCTGTCTGCATGCACACCGGAAGAAGGAATCTGATTCCATTTTAGATGGTTGTGAGCCACCATGTGGTTGCTGGGAATCGAACTCAGGACCTCTGGAAGAGCAGTCAAGAGCTCTTAACCGCTGAGCCATCTCTCCAGCCCCCAAATCAACATTTTCTTAAGGGGACTGGAGAGATGGCTCAGGGGCTAAGCACACTTGCTGCTCCAGCAGAGAAAGAAAAAGGAGAAAGAGAGGCATAGGGCTGGTAGCAATGACCTCACCCAGTGCCAGGTACCCAGGCCTACAGTGCTGTGCCACACCTTGCTGGGGACAGACACAGGGGACAGGTGTGGCCTTTCAGCCTTCTGCGGCCTCTGTTCCTTGCACACTTCCTCTTGGCCCAGTCAGATTTGCCTCCCGGCCTTCCCAATTGCCCTCCGCCAGGCATCTGAGCCGCCACCCACTGCAGTAAAGACACCAGGCTGTGTTCAAACTTTATTGTTCACAGTGAAGATAAGGCCCCTGAAGAACTAAGTCGTAAGCTTGTACAATGGGCGACCACATGGAAGAAGGCACTGACCCTCCACGGAGCCTTCCTCTCTCAGGATCAGGAAGGCACTCAGAGCTTGGAGAAGGTGGCACTTTTGGTGTCCTTCTTCTCCATGGCTGCCTGGACGGACTTGATTATGTCCTGGGTCTGCAGCATGCTCATGTTCCAGGTGGCCTGGATCAGGGGCGTCGGAAAGACCGGCAGGGCACCAATCAGAGGTGTGCACACATGCTGACCCCCAGGTAGGGCCATGATTGGTGTAGTTGAGCCTTACCATGTAGTCAAGGCTCTCGTCCACGGAATGGTCTCGGGAGTAGATTAGGTTGATTTTTGACCCCTGCACAGCCACAGGGCTCTTGCTGGAAATCTCAGCCGCCAGGGCAAAGGCTGCATTCAACATGTTGTCCTTATCTGGGAACACACGGCTGCCGGGGAAGGAAGAGGTGAGGGGGACACTTTCCCTCTCCCCTGTGGATGATGGCCAGGTGGCCTCACAGAGAAAACGGAAACCCCAACCAAAGAGCTCAGCCACAGGGTCATGCTCAGAGAAAGAAATAGCTGTACCGAGAAAGGCCATTTGGAGTGAGGATACGGGAGACCATGGAGCCCCACCCTGGCCTGGATGGCCCTGTGCCCCTCCCTGCCATCTGCCAGGCAGGGTCCTACCTGACCAGCCCACTGTCCAGGGCCTCGTCAGCCATCATCCTTCGGGCCGTGAAGGTCAGCTCGTTGACCAGGCTACATAAGGGGAGGGCGATCAGGAGCCACCCTTCACCTGGGTCTGACCCCTCCTCTCCGGGTCATCATCACCCCTCTCACCTCTGGTTCCCGATGACCTTGGGCAGTCGCTGCAGTGTCCCCACGTCGGCAGCCAGGCCCAAATCCACCTCCTAGAGGGAGGGGAACACTGATGAGTGATTGTTCTGTGTCTGCCATTGTTTACCACGCAAGCTCAGTGGTTTCACCACCCTCCAGCTCAGACACCCTCAAGAGGCGATGCTACCTCCTGGCCCCCCAGCTTGCTCACAAGGCCCTTTCCAGAGCCCTGGGCTCCACTCCACCCCTCGGCCTGTAAGGATGGCAGCAGTTCCAGCTGTGTCTATGCAGAAACCACAGCTGGGCCTGCATCCCCTTCCTTCCGGTGCTGGGCAGTGCTAACTCAGAGCGTTTTCCCCCCACTCATGCCCTCTACTGTGAGCTACGTACACCCACAGCACCGGCCTACCTCTCTGACAGGGTCTCACTGTGAGGCTCAGGTTGGTCTGTGGGGTGGCAAATGTTTACTGTCAATCTGGCAGAATCTAGGGATGAGCCTCTGAGGTACTACCTTGTTTGTTGTTTTGTTTTGTTTTGTTTTTTCAAGACAGGGTTTCTCTGTGTAGCCCTGGCCGTCCTGGAACTTGCTCTATAGACCAGGCTGGCCTCGAACTCCTGCCTCCGCCCCCGAGTGCTGGGATTAAAGGTTTGCACCACCACACGCGCCTGTCATGAGGTACTGTCTTGATTGCATTAACTGATTCAGTTAATTGTGGGCAGGACCCTGGCATGTGGGGGGCTGGACCCCAGCACACACTGCTCTCTTCTGACTACACTGATGAGGCAATGGCTCCTTCAAGCTCTCTCTGTCTTCACTTCCCTGACACAATTGACCATACCTTGAACTGTGGAACCATGACAGCCCTGTGTCTCTCCACGCCCCATCTTTGCCAGAA